TTCAAACGATAGCCAAAAATCCAATTTTTGTCGGATTTCGAAAAAAATGTCACCATTGTACTCCCAGATTACTCCCACTTGTTTTATGATATCCGATATCAAATTATATGTTTTAAATGTTTTGAGTAATTTCGAAAATTTTTTCTCCATGAGTGTGTGTTCTAAAAAATCAAAATTTCAAAAAAGTTGAGTTAGATATCGTGTACATATATGATCAAGCAACTATCTAGGATCACAAAAAATGCTTAAATACACTTTGTCGAAAATACAATTTGGATCGGATTTTCGGGGAATTATATAATGCACCGAAAAAGCGTATTTTTCGTGTTTTTTGTACCTTTGAGTGGGTGTGGCGGACACAAATGTGGCCATGGCATCAAACCTTTTAAGGGTTTTAGAATACTCATAGGGGACTACAACATATCCAAAGGGCATTAGAGCTGAGAAAAATGATTTACTGCATGCCATGTGTTGGCAAGATTCTACAGGAATCGCTGACCACACCCACCGGGTGTGTGGTTTTTAATTCTGAAATTCTAATTATGTCACTGCGATCGCCTTGACGAGATGAGAAAAATGATATGTCGCATGCCGAAATGTGGCTAGATTCGGCTGGAGTCGACTACCACACCCACAGGGGGTGTGGTTTTTTAAATTCGAATTATGTCACCGCAATCCCCTTGGCGAGCTGAGAAAAATGATATGTCGCATGGCATGGTTTAGCAGGATTAGGCGGGAATCGATGACCACACCCGCAGGGGGTGTGGTTTTTTTTAAATTCCAACTATGTCGCCGAGATCCCCTTGGCGAGCTGAGAAAAATGATATGTCGCATGCCGTGCTTGGGTGGGGTCTTGGAAAAAGCGCTGATGACCACACCCCCCGTCGCCATGGGGTCACCCATAATTTTGCATGGATAAGGAGGGTGACCTGGGTACGATTATGTGCGGTGGCGACGTCAGAAACCAAGTATTTAGAGAATTTCTTGTCCCTTTAATGCATTGGAATTGACTTTCGACCACCCCCACACTGACTTAACATCAGGGGGTGTGACAAACTAGTCGCCAATCTGATGGTCTGACTATTTCAGACACTGCCGCCCAGAATTTACGCCGAACACCTTCAAATAACGTCGTAGAAATTTCAAATTATACATAGATATGTTACTCGTTTTTTGACCTTGTGACCTGGATAACGAGGGGGTGGGGCCGAATTTGAAAAATCTGAAATTATACATTTCGCGCAAGGGGTCGAGGTTTCCAAAACGGGCGGCATTTTGAAAATCGGTCAAGAACTGACCGCACAGTGAATTTTCAAAGTCTACATGTTATACCTTATGGCGAGGTCGGCCATTTAGCCTCCCAAGAATTCCCATGGTCTATTTATTCTGGATTCACCATATAGTATGATGTGAGGTTTGGTTAGTCCATACCACACATGGATGGCTGGGAGCAGATTGAAAATTTTTGTCATTTTATTATTGGGGAGAAAGTGGGAGGAATGTGAGGTGTAGGGGGTGTGGTTTATAGATTCAAGCCGCGTTTTTGTTTCATATCATCATTTTGGACGACCCCTTTGGCCCATGTAAACAACATGAGGGCATGATTCAACACTAATTTCTAAAATTCATGGCCAATTACTTATAAATCACAATTCCAAGATTACAATAAAATCAATTAAACAATGTTTTTAGCGTCGAAAATTTTAATCCGCGGAAAAAGCCTTCCATGTAACTGGGTCTATTGGATACTATCGGTCTCAACTCCAACTACTTCTGCAGCAGTTTCGGTTGAGCTGTTTTCTGATTGCTATAATGCACACTACAGGGCCCTTGACCGCTCACCTATGCACTTTAGAAGTAGAGACCGATAGTACTAGAAAGGTTCTCGCTAGCCCGTCGTATGACGGGCGTCTACTCTAGTATTACAATATTTTGAACACCGGGTATATGAGACAGTGGAAAAATTAAACACGTGGGCCAAGTAATATGTGCATCTTACATACAAAGTCGTCAAACTCGAGACTTTCGACGTGGACAAAATCAAGTGTCACCTTAAGCAAGGCACGATACTGAATGCAAATGATAACCTAATTTTTAAACGAAAAAAGATTGGGAATGAATAAATTTTATTGGTAATGGCGGATATCGGCCAACAACATGGAAATGCAAAACACTTTATTCAAAACATACACATTCAACGGTACAATTAATCATCCTGGTTAAGAGTACACTTGTACTTGAACATATTTTCAGTTTGCATTACAAAAATTGACATGAACCATCGCGATCCAAGAACAGTGGGACAAGGTTTGTGCCATGACTTCCAGTTCATCTTACCATGTCTCTTATAGTGTGTCCAAAATAGACCCGAGCCCCGTACAGGCCTAACTTTTAGGCCCAAATCTGGAAAAACAGTTTCTCCGCCGAGTTTGGTGTCACCCATCTGATGGTTTCACAAATATTTATTAACACCGAGTTGTCATCGCCTTATTAGCTCGTCGTGCGAAGCATGAGAAGCTATTTAATTTGTCGTGTCCGTCCGTCTGTCCGTCTGTCCCACAATTTTGTCACTATTTTGTATGATTATTCTGCACTAGTGGTGTTGTGGTATTGTGTCACAATTTTGTCATATTCATCGTCCTGTACTTAATATTAAAGGTCGAGCTACTTCTAGCATATGCTACGGTTAATTTAATCTTACGTAAACAATTAGCGTCCCGAGTCTGTTAGCAAAAAAGTGTGGTTGATGGCGCTGGTTTGGTGGTCGAAATGCGTCAATATGTAAATCACCATCACCTCCAGTATGGTAGACCGAAATTCTATAATCATCTCCAGCCTGTCCCCTTAAATGAAGCCCCAATACGCGTTCTAACTTCATAGCGACACTTCTCCCGTCCGGGAGCTCGGATTCTTTTAAAACTATTAATATTTACGAAAAGCAATATGAAGATTAGACCTTGTTGAAGTTAGAGTTATAAAATTCCCAGGGAGCGATAATAGAATCCCGGAATATTCCCATGGTATATATTCGCGGGGAATTTATTTTTAACATTGGGCTTATGCGGGAATAAAAATAAATTCCGGGTAAAAAGGGAAAATTGGGAATTTATAAATTCCATAAATTCCAAGGGAGTGGGAATCTCTATAACTCTAATTGGGGTAGCAAAGAATACCCACATGTAAAACTCATTTGTCCCGGCAAAGATCTCGGAGGTCGGTTCACTACCATGGCATCAGTCTCCAATCCTGGCGTGGAAGCTTCAACTGTTCTTCGTATCCATTGATTGCCCACAATATCATGAAATTGATAGATTGGTGGCGAGTCAAAGAGTAGCTATGTCTTTAATGGGTTTATTACAAAGTAGTGATGAGAGCTTCGATCGTTCCAACAGTGAAAGTTTGCCTTTGGTTCTGGCGCCAGGGAAGAATTAGAGCACAGTGTGTAAGATACGAAGTTCCTTTCCAATTGTAACCCACTCCCCATGCCGCCTCTATACATTTCAGCTATTTGAGCGTGATGCAGGGGTGTCGAAGCCATTTGAGCTAGTGGCTGCGTAAAACAGTACCTAGTCCTGTAATTTGTTGAGAGTTGTTAAAAATTCTTGGGAATATAATTCACTAACTTTTTAACTTGGTAGGTTTCATCATGTGCAAGAATTGTCTTGTCCTTCAGTTCTTGAAGTTCGGCGTTGTTTGGAAGGAGGTGTTTCAAAAGGGACAACCAGGACCAAATCTGTACATAATATCCAACCTCTAGGCCATGCTTAACAAGCTGCAAACCGTGGAGGGGAGTTAGACCGTGGGGTGCTTGAATTGCGCCAAACCTTCCTTCCAACAACTAGTAAAACACAACAGGTTTATGAATGCCAACCATGAATATACGATTTTATAAATATTTGCCTCGGTTGCCGAGAAGTTGTAAGAAAATTGCAAATCTAGCAATGCCACGCTTCCCATAAACAGCCCGTCATCGCCCGGAAATTCTACATCGTTGGATTCTGTCTGATATTCTTGTTCCACCTGTTCCATAATTGACGGCAAATACTTTGCGAACCTATACAACATTCGATAGGTGAGGAGCGGGTGTTCAAATACTTCACCTCTACTGCTCCTATAATCCGTTAAGTATTCCTCCAAATGTACAATTGAGCTATTCGGAATATGGGATCCAACCAGCTTTTGATACAGAACTTCCTCCAGCTTAGCTAATCGATTAATATATAAAACATGTAATGAAGGCGGGAGTTTGAAATTGAGTTCAAGGTGAATGCCCCGCTGTGGAGAAAGAAATTAGGTTAGGAAACGCTGGTTAGTACGGCACCCCCCGTAGTCATGACAACAAGGTACAATGTACGGTTGGGGTTTAAGAATTTCAGTGAAGATACCCCTCTATTTTTTATCCCCCTGGTTGCCACGACTAAAGAGAGGTGCGATATAAGCTTGTTGACATAGATTTAAATAACAGAATCTTAACATTTATTATTTACCTCCGGGAAGAGCAGGAATATGAAAAGTAGGCACTTCATGACTTTTCGGAAGCTTTAGCTAGTTTGAACTTTTGCTGGCTATTTTGAGAAAATAATTAATTGAAAGATAACTAGGTATACACCTTAACAATGAGTCGAGTTCACTGGTCTCATTTATGTGGCACAATTTATTTTTAAAAAATTTGTTGCGCACCGATTTGATGTCTGTTTCTATTAAATAACAATCAAATAAATTGGTGGTGGGTTTCTCATCCAATTAAAGAACAATCAAATAAATTGGTGGTGGGTTTCTCTTCCAATTAAAGAACAATCAAATAAATTGAGGCTCTTGGATTTCTTTTTCGATTAAATCTCAATGAGTATTCTTTTAGCAGAGAGGCTCACTCATGCACAATGAACATAATTAAACGATTTTCCAAATTCAAACCATTGTTAAATTGCCTTTGATTTAAACACCTCACAAACGGCTGTGAGTATTTGCCGTAAAATTCTAGATTCTGCATAAAGCTCTACATGCCGCATCAAATGTTGGTAGGAATAATATACATCACTTCCCTAATGGCACGGGTACGACTTTTATTTTAAGAACATTTATTTGGGAGGTATTCTAATAAAAATTTATCAAGGTTGGGGTCTTCACTTCCCTTTTGGACACTGAAAAGTGGGCTGACAAAGAAGAAATGGTATACTCCATGGTTAAACATTGGAATGTAAGTAGCAGTGTAGTTCCATATCTGAAAGAGTACATCGAAGATTACGAAAGCAGTACAGCAGCAGCCCGAGGAAAATACAAAGTTTTTGATCATCTACTACTCACATATCGAATGTTTTACCGATGGCAACACTACATGCCCACGGTTCTGAAGGAAATCACAAATCACGATAAACTCACTTTTCCAGACGAATTTGAAATTTCGACAACCGCAACCACCACTGTTTCAGCTAGTATTCTAACTTTGCAATTTTTCTACAATCTCCCCACAAAAGAGGTAGACATTTGTTTAGAGCAGCCAGTAAATTTTTAGAGTTTTTAATTTTTTTTAACTTGAACGACCTTTAAACGTTTCGCAGCTTATTGATGGGACTTTCCGGTCGGTCACGACAGGCATCGGTTTAACCAACCAACAGCCATTGCAATTAGCAAAGGAAGGACTTGAGATGGAATACTATGTCCAAGTATGGGACTGGGTAAATGTTCTCCTAGCCCGAGGGCGGGGAAACAATGATACTGTTTTGATAAAACAAGCTGAGGACCTTGAGCGGCATCTTATTGCTAAACATGACGAGATTTACATTCGAGACCGCCAACTAGGCTTCCGTAAATATGTTTTTGTCGATGCCCTCTCCAATTATACAGGGGTTCCTGAACCCCTGTTTCAGTTCCAAATGGACGAATTTCTAGATATTTGGGAAGGAAGCAAACTCCCAGCGGAACGGAATTTTAAGCATATTGCTATTTGCTCTGATTCCGATGCGGTTAAGGTACTCTAAATAAGGCAAATATATATATTTCTTTAATTTATTGCCATCGCAAGGCCCTACGAAATGTTGTCGGCCTTTATGCTGTCACGATTACTCTCTTCGAACTTATCCCATCCACATGAAAATTTGGCACACCTCTTTATTAGGCAAAAGTATGAGATAAGTTCGGAAATAAGCCAAAGCGGTTCTTAACAAAATTTTGGTTAAGATAGATCAGATTTTTTGAGGTTAATAGTGTATTTCGCCATACTTCATGCATATATTTTCCCAATCGCCCAAATATGTTTAATCTACATTAAACTAAGCAAATTTCGGGATGTCATGTGAATGACAAGAGGAGGCAGATAACAACCGGTGTCAACTAATTTGACTTCCCAGAAAATTTCTAAATGTAACCCTTTACTAATTGAATTGCAAATCCCGGTTCGCAGAGTTACAACGGAGAGTTCTGAAATTTGGTGTGCGGTAGGACCGCATAGGCCGACCTACCCTGAATTTTGAAGCTTTTCGTATGAAGCTGCAATTCGCAACAGTAAATCAATATAGTAAAGCAAGGAGAAAACTGAAGTATGTTTTTATATGAAATTTTGTTGAGGCCACCCTCATAGTTAACGCCGACTTATTTACTAAAAAGGGTACAAGTTTTCTTCGGGGGGAAGGCAGGGTTGGCCAAATCAAGGGTGACGGCTCTTTAACATATAACCATATTTTGGCTCGGGATAAATCAAGCCGAACTGTGGTTTTAATGATTAAATTACGCAGGTGAATCCTCCCCCACTTAGTAATCTCAGATGTTGGACTGATCATGGAGGTCATCCATTCTATGTCTTAGCCCCTCGAAAGGTCGAGAAGCTTTGGGACTCTCCAGACGTGTATCAGTTTTACGACGTTCTCAATCTTCAATGGATAGAAAAGGTTAAAATATTAGCAGCACCTGTTCCTGAAATTGGAGAAAGCGCCATGGATTTTACATGTAATACCAAATATATAAGACTATTTTCAGTTCTTGGAATGAAATTACAGGCTGCAATCCGGCTGAAAAAGATACACTAATTCAATGGAGAGGCTTTCCGGTGTGAAACTGACGTATCTTATCTTAATTAGCATTATATATTTTGTTTTTCCTGGAAAACGCAGATTTCCAGCTATCTTTTTTAGCCAGATGACACCCCTAACTAAAAATACACCAACTACATGTATCTTAATCATTGCATCTCTAGCAATACGTGAAGAAGAATTCCCACCAATTGGGCACACCGGGCTAACCAATAAGTTGGAATCCATGCTTGGGATACATCTCGGAGGTTACTATCGTGTCTCAGTATACCATCAAGCAGGGGAAGGTAAAGTGCACCACGACTCCTTCCGAGTGCCTAATCAGATCAATGAAGTGAAAATGTTTACCAAACGATTAGCCAGCATAATAATTTACGTAAGTATTTCATAAAATTTCATAAATTTTTATTCCAAACATTGTCTTGAAATAGATTAGCGACCCAGAACTTGGCGGGGAGACTGTGTTTCCAGAAATTCCTTTGAAGGTTAAAGCAGTCAGTGGGTCATTAATATACTGGTTCGCAGACTTTAGCTATGCTAATAATTCGCATTCATTTTCACATAAATAATTTTACAGGAGAAACTACTTAACTGAAGATCGTCTAAGCTGGGATGTTTGGCATGCTCCTTGCCCCACAATTTTAGGAAATCGGTGGTTCATTGCATACTTTGTTGATATGGAAAGAAACCTTCCGTTAAAAGCGGCATATACGACGTCCAATGTGGCTAATATATGCACCGACTAGGAATGAAAGAGCGAATTTACCGCTTAACCTAAGAGCCTATGTCCCTAGTATGTATTTGTTTTCTCAATTGCATAAATCTATTTAAATTGCTTCAGTTTCCTTTGAAATGAGCATGTCTCTAAGGGACATATACCAAATTCAATTTCATATACAACTTTTATGAGACGAATAAAAATGAAAAGTCACACAAACAAGTGACAAATTCATCCATTTCCCTGATTATTTATTATTATTGAAGTATGTATATATGTAGAAATGCATTTTACATGGTAGCAGGCATAGATAATTGTATTTGACTTATATATATGAAAATATTCAATTTCACTCAAGTACATATTTTTTTCTATTTTTTCCACATTAAGCAAATTTTTATGTTGGTCTTATTTTACTCAAGAAATATTAAATCCACCAAGTGTATCAAGCTTTGTTTTATAGTTATTCTCTATCTTTTATTTTCAGTTCCATAGGTAAAATAAAGTTTTTTAGCGGTTTTAACATCAACCTGCCCACCTTATCTAGATAATAATAATTTATAATAATAATTTATTTCATCAATTATTTTTTAAACCAATTTAAAATAAAACAAGGCTAATGGACCATATAATTACAGGTTATGACAGGTTATGACTATCATGTTGTTTATATAGATATGCATAACGTAGATTTTACAGACACAAATCATAAACAGACTTCAATTTTAACATGAAAATATTTTAATTTGTATTTGCCCAACCCTTTAAAATTAATCAAACACGATATTAAGTGATTGAACCGACTGACCGTGAGACAAAGTAGTCTCTACAATCTTGGTCTTATTACCCTTCGTGACATGGATATCATAATGCCCCTGAAAAACTCTGGAAGTGAAGTGACCAACTGCGTCTGTTGTTCCCGTCACGTCAGACCACCATTGGTTGAAGACCAAGTCCCGATACACCGCAGGGGCCCCATTTTGAACAAGGAAACGGAGTACGTCCGCATCAAAATTAATGAATGTGGAATCTGACGGATTTGGATAATCGTTGAGATACAATTTGGCGTTTGGATCTGCAGATCGGGCAGCTCTGAACCAATCCAGCATTGCCTCCCTGCCTAGTAGATTCGTGTAATCGTTTTCTGAGTAAGGTTCGTTCAGTACATCCCACTCTATCAATCGTCCACTGTGTCGTGACCCAATATCTTGGACGTGGTTCGCAATCGCACTCCTGAGTCCGGGAGGGTCTCGCGGGATATTGGATGGTGACCACCTCCACGACCCCCAAAGCATGGCGTGACCTCTAACCTTAATATTTCTTTGGGCAGCCCACGCAATTACTTCGTTGGTCCAGGTTACCCTGTGATTGGAGTCTGTGTTGGATTGCGAGGTTTGCCATTGGGGCCACTTGTGGTCGTTTTCGAATGGTGTTGAAATTGTTGATGATGATTTGCTGGAATCTGGCAGCAGTAGCTAGGTCAAGGGTCCACATCTGGCGGACGCCTACAGCTGTGCCGAAATTGAAGACTTGTCGCTTCATTTCGAATCGGACTTGGGCATCAGGAACGGCTCGACCAAGAGCATCGGTCACAGATATGTAGAGGTCTGATTTACGATGGGTTTCAATGTCAGCGAGGGCCTGGGCTCGCCAGGAGTCGTTGGCGGCGAGTGGGATAGTATCATCGCTATTGAGAACAAATTAGATTAATAAATTTAATTTTTACCCGTGATCAGTTTAGTTTGAACCATTTATCGTCTATGTCACTAACTATTGCAACCTCCGTAATAACTTAGTATAAATGGAGCGGTGACTCTTACCGTAAACTATTCAGGTTGAAAGTGTCAATTACATTGCCACCGATTGTCCTACAGGAAAATGTTACGGCGAGAAGAATAAGAAGGGATAAATTTAAGGGGGCCATTTTATTGCGGGTAATTTTGCTCTGCCAATCTAGACACCGCTTCGAATGTGTGCAAGTGGGTCTCCGCTCCTGTATTTATACCAGGATGATCAAGTAGCAAAATCCATCCGTCATTAATTACTACACTAATGCATACATACAGCTTACTCACCGTGCAAGTCATTGTAAAATTTCAATTGTTTATCGTGTCAAATTGTGATTGATTTTTGCAGGCTGCAAAATCATGATTAATAACAACGTATGTTTGTCAACAGTGGAAATCAGTTGAGTTTCGTGCGCATAAATTTTCTGCGCCCGAAACTTAGATTGCACAACGGTGTATAATACTTATCTACTGTGTGTGAAGCCTGTATCATGGCATGATTGCAACGTGTTAAAATTAAATGTGTGTGTCAACCGCAAAAAGTGGAACGTGAGCAAACAATGCGACAGTGAATAACAAACTTGTTGACTGGAATTTACGCCATGGTAATTTCACTAATTATAATAATTTTTAATAGATTGTAAGTGCAACCATGCAGTTGTGGGCAGTGTTCGATAAAAAGCAAAAAGAGCAAAAAGTGCTATAATGCTGAAGTGCTTTTTACTTGGCGCCAGCTAGCGGCGTACATTAGAACTATTATGCTATAAGTATCAAAAAAGCAATAACACATCGACTACGTCAGTATAACCTAGTGGAATCCTTTGCAGCTACGCCAGCTAGGCCGGGGTTCGATTCCATGTGTTGGTGGTTTTCCCGAAAAGGGTTTTTTCCATTATACTAGTCGTGGGGCAGACCCCCCGTGTTGAGGGGGTTGAAGGTCACGATATTGGTGCCCCGCGTAACTAAGAACACACAGACACAAAGTCAGACTATGAGATGTACGGGCAAAGAGCTGAGGCTACACCCGAAAAGTATTTGAATGAAAAAATAAAGCATCAATTTCAATACAGCAAAAAAGCATCTTTAAACCAAGTTAAAAGCAATAAAGCAAAAATGCAGCTTTTTTGCTTGGGATAACACTGGTTGTGCACATTGTGGATTTCCTCAAACTGGAGCTAAAAGTGTATCTTATGTGGTTACGAAAAGTAAGAGCTGTCATGCGGGATAGCATTGGGTGAGAAAAACCTGGTTTGACCAGCGTTAAGTCATTGATATAACTGTGGTCGCTCGGTTGACATGACGTAATCACGTTACGTCAACGTGTAAAGCTTCCTAAAAACAATAAACATCATTTTTGACAGATTTTAAAGTCATTTACAGATGTTATTTTTGGCCAATTTTTGTCACGCATTTCCAGCTAGTTTTGCATTGAGTTTACGGGACAACGTTTAATTAATGTTTGCTGATTTAGATATATGTCGCAGTTTTAGATTCGTAACTTCGTAAAATTTTAAACCTGATGGGGTTACTCATGGTGATTCCTGAAAGTTTTTGTATTTAGGTTAGAATTTTGAAATTATTCCTAGTCAAGGTTTATTATTTTAATAATTTAGGTTATTAAGAGTATCACAAAAGTCACTTTAATCACTAATCACAATAGGTTCTATAAATATTAAAATACATATCGTCGATGACAAATGTCGCAGAAAATAAAAAAAAATCGGAATGATGATGATAAAGTTGACGGTGATGATGTGGTTGTGAAAAAATCAGAAGTAGTAGATTTCATCCAATTCCTTTCCGGCTGGAAGAGATCCTAAAATCGCGGCGACGTTACCTCGCTGTGTGGCAATAGAGATTTGTTGACGAAGAAAAGTTGCAGATCTCTTGTCCCCTGTCCTCTCAGAAATTCTTCTTCCGATTTCATTTATTAATGAGAGACCTTCTCCTCCCCATACTCCACTGGTTTCGAGTGCCACTGGAATGAAGAGGAAATGGTCCTGAAGAAATGAATACTTATTTTTCTTGTTATTTTCTGCTTTCTCTGCCGCTGACCCTGGGTTGATGGTAGTGTGGGGTAGGTGGCTGGGTGCGTAGGTATCCACACAGGTGTAATCCCAGACCATTGAACGTCCTCGAGTCCATGGCACCAGAGTCATCCCGTCAGGGCGTTTTCCATCCTCGCGTGAGCATCCTGCCGGCTCTCTAATGCATTGCACTTCAGCAGAACGAAGAGCACGTGCGATGATGTCGTTGGCAGCTTCATGGCGAGACCAACGACCAGCGCTTTTCTTGCATGAGAGGCCATGGTAGCCTTTAGAGGTGACATCAGCGCCACAAGGACAGCGGTGAGGTTGACAGATTTCGCAACCAAGGCGAAAGGCGACGGCGACTCGGAAAGAATCGTTCGAAAGATGTGTTCCCAATTGTGGTGAAGGAAGTGCGTTCAACCATGCTCCAGCATGGGGCTGATCCATGGCGAGGATTCGAGCGGTGTCATGTGGCGTTAGTGCAGTGGAAAGTAGAGTAGATATTGTTTTCGTGATGATTGGCAATTCCCAAACCTTTTGCGAACCTCGGAGTAGCATGGGTGGAAGTTCGGTGGGACCGTGGAGTGACCATTGCTGTTCTCCTTCTGTGACGGCGTCATCTTGTTCACAAAGAAAGTCCGGGAGGAGAGAGTTTAGATGTGGGAGGCAGCTATATGACGACGCGAGGAAAGACGGAATCGCCGTTTCTACAGCATGCCTGACACCTAATCCTCCAAACTTGACCGGAAGTGATGATTGGGACCAAGAATCGGGAGAAAGTGAACAATTGAGGATACCTTCCACTGCTATTTTTAGGGCGTTGTCATATAATAGGAGGGCAGCATGATTTCGCCAAGTCGGAGCACATCGCAAGAAGTAGATTAGGCGAGGGATCGAGATGGAGGCACGGAGAAGAAAAAATGCACTGTGTGATGAAAGTTGGCGAAGACGGTCGCCCAGTGTCGAAAGTTGAGAGGTCTTCTTCTCCATGATTTTCTCGATGGCGGAGTCGGTGAGAGGGGCCCCCAGTAGGGTGGCAACTTCGGGGGAGATCTTTTGGATGTCCGGAGAAACCTGTCGGAACATTTCGTAAATGTCCTCATGAGTGTTGGGGTCGCCGCCGAAGATGCCAACTTCACACTTCGCCTCATTCAGGTGCAGTCCCACGTCTGTCCCCATACGACGCACAGTCTCAAAAGCGGTCAGAACTT